GTGAGTGGATTAAACGACTTACTTTTGTAACCATAGAAAATGTACATCTACTGTCTGACCCTTACCTTAATTATCCTGCGTGCTTATGGGAATTATGATGACCTATTTCAAATGAGACGTTCCGTTATACGTACGCCAATTTATTGGTGCCCTTACCGTTCATTATAAACAACTCTCTTTGTCTCGGTACTGCTTTGCGGATATTCAGCGCTAGCTTCGTATTCAGGTCCCCGGTGATCAGTCTTTTCACAGTACTTGGCGAATTCGAGGATTGTTAGGCAGCCGATATCAACATTAACAAACAGTGGACGCTGTCTGAGGCTATACGGTACACATATGGCGTCCGCGAATTTTTCATCAGAGATCAAACGTCTGCATCAGTGAACTAATAATAACTGTTCTAAAGAAAAATACGCTGACTGACCAAAATCCACGCATGCACATGTTATTTCCCATCTCAGAGGCACTATCGATAAACACACTTCTTTCTGGTCCAGTCTTTGTGGATGTGTTACGGTGCATCGATCGACAGCTTTATAGTCCCAACCTGACACCAGTCCACTGGATAGACATAACCTTATGCATAACACGGTGACCCAAATATGTGATCACATGTCCACCTCTGATTTGTTTCCAGATACATGTTTCAACATATTCGTTTCTCTTCTCTGTCGTTCCATAACGGTTGCCCAATCTTGATTTGCTTCTTGTTCATTAATTCTTAATTGTGTCGATCTTTTCGCCGAAACGATGAAATCAATCTCCCATTTTTGCTGTTCCATGGAAACAGTTTGTTTGCAAATTGCATCTCCTCTTTCGAACTCACTACGAAGGCAAAGGAACGATCCTATAAATCCATCTATTGTAAAATACTATTCTAACTTAATTTAAGGCTGAGATAACACGTGTGTTTACAAGACGTTCGCTTCCCAAATCCTGCAAGTGAAAAACAAGGCTTCTATGGTAAGGAATTTGCCTTCTCTGCGAAAAAAGGAAAAACGTGAACAGTGATTTTGATGTAAAAAGCCTTAGCGCTGCATTTCTTCATCGGTCTAACGATAACCAGATACCCTCTTTCCCATGTGAGGTTTCTAATTCCGATCTGTTCCCTTTTTCCAATGATGAAAAATTTAAGCCTCTACGTTCCTTCAAACCATCGTCATCTGCGGGCCCTGATAGTCTTTCTCCAGCGTTTCTAGAGTTTGGTGCGGTCCCTTTAACTAGCATGATGACATCCTTCATCAACGAGTCTCTTTCTTCGCTGATGATCCCCGACTCCTGGCGACCGGTGACCATAATACCTGTTCCAAAGACCTCATTCTCAACCGTTTTCGTTCCATCGCATTGACGTCTGTAGTTCTAAAATTGACCGAGTAAGCCATCCTTAGTCGCTTACAGTTACTTGTCACCACTCCCCATAATTCCCTTCAGTTCGCGCATAAACCCAACAGATCCACTTTGGATGCTGTGTCCACTCTGGTCCATCTTATAAGCAGGTCATTGAACAGCTCGGCCAAATCTGTTCGTTACGTTTTTCTTGATTATTCGTCTATTTTTGATTTTGTTCCTCCAGACATCCTTTTTAAGCATGAACCTTTTGGCATCCCGAGACAGCTGCTTTCGTGGCTTTCTGATTGTTTCATCAAAAGAATCCAGTGCACAAAGCTGGGCAGTCAATAACTCTGGTGCGCTTCAAGGTGCCGTCGTCTCTCCGTATCTTTTCTCTGCTTTCATTAGTATTTCAGTTTCACACCCTGCTCATATCCAAAAGTATGCTGACGATGTCGTTTTATGCCAGGCCTCTCCATCTTCGGAATTTTCCTTCACTGGAAATCTGACCCAAATCCAAAGCAGTTTTCAAACCATATTGGCCTTACTCTTGACACATCTAAGTGCTTGGAGTGTATTTTTAATCCTTCCCGTCAGACTCTATAACCCTTAATTGTTACCTTTTATCTAGAGTATCCTCAGCCAACTTGATAGATTACGCTGGTTGGGGCATGTGTTACGCATGTCACCAGATAGGTTGCCACAGCGCGGGATGTTTGCCTAGGCAGGCAGCGGTTGGAAAAATATCAAAGCCGGTAAAACGAGGACCTGGCACGAGGGTATGAAGATCCTAACCAGGATACTGGGTCACATAGGTGTCGTTAGACTCCCTGGCTGGGGACCCTGAGATGATGGTCAACGATGATTAGAGACACTGAGTGATATAGCTGGGTGTCGCAAACAGTGGCGCTCATGCATCTACTCATTATTCTTGTGACATCTGCTTGAGTTTACTGCCAGCATTATGATCGTCTTTCTGCTCTTGTATCCAAATTGGCAACGAAAACCGGCGCATGAAAGTGCACGGTTGATGGTTTTAAGAACTGAACAGAACCTCAACCAAATATCTGGGTGTTACTATCGATAATAATCTTTGGTGGTCGACACACATCCAGAACTGTATGGGAAAACTTCGTCGCCTGTCCTTTCAGCTTCGGAAGCTGACAATTTTGCACTCCCCAACAAGTTTTGTTCCCCTCTGTTAAACAATGCGTTCCCCCTATTTTACCTTATTGCTCCCCTGTAGTGACAAGACTTTAAAACTATCCGTCGCGGTTTGGTGATAATAAGCGGTGCATCTTTAATTTCTGCCAAGTCATTGATCGAAGTCTTATGTGACCTTGGCCAATGAGATGCTAAACGACCCGTCCCATCCTTCGCATTTTGAATTATCTTCCTGTCGCTCTCACTCGCTCTTCGTTACGGTATCTACCATCTCGAATAAACATTTATAAAAACTCTGGCTCGAATCTTGACCAACAAGGAACGAGTTNAACGAGTTATAGATGAATTACGTAAATCATTACTTGAATGAATCGAACTTCAGAGACTTTTTTACACAACACTCTATTGGATTTGTCTATACTTCTTTATTTTCTCCGGTGTGACGACCAGTGTACAATTTTTAATTGAAATGTAAGCATATCTCAGCTTGCAAAGGTTATACAAATACAAATGACAAATCTCTGAAAGAGGGTTACCCAAGCGATGGAGCACGAGCATCCTCTCATGATGATGGTGGACCTGTGGACTGGGCCGGATTGTCATTATGATTATAGAGCTCAATAACTTGATTTGCATAAAGAATTTAATCTGCTCCAGTCCGTAATGGAAGGTCCACGAGCTAACTTAAACCAGGTATTAACTGGGATAATACGGGGCCGGTGCTAGCTGTGTAAGGCGAGCGACTGGGCTTAATGCAGGTAGGACGATGCTATGTCCGGCGATTGAGGTTGAAATGTATCATCCCCTGAGTTCCTGTATAGTTTGATTCAGTAGCTCGTCGTTATACTTCACAAGATACTGTCAATACAATTGAAAAGGGTGTAGTCGAACTAAAACGATATCTACACCGTTCTTGACCTATCGATGCAAGAGTCAAACAAACGCTTGATTGGATCTATGGATTAACTTCGAGGAAAGCAGTGGGTGAGCGAAAAACTGTTTTTGAATATTAATAATCATGCTCTTACATAGCACAAAGCGGAAAAATGCTAACAATGACAGCCATTGGGCTCAGTTTAATGTCATTAATCGTAAACAAACAGTAGGAATGTGTGTGAAAGAACTTTAATGTATTGGTTGATGTGACCTTCCTCTACTTCGGTCAACGGACAGTTTATGTCTAGTCTTGGTCTTCACACTAAGCTTAGGCAATTGAAGTTATAGATTAATTCTTTTTCGAGCGGAGTAAGCGAATGGTGATCGCCTCGGTCATGGCTAGTGTCCAAACTCGGGTCGCCTTCGATCAATTAGATGCATTGCGATAAGCAACATCGAAAGCTTTCTCCGGATCCATCTTATATCCGTTGTCTACGAGAAAACCAACAGTCGCACTCGAGATAGACAAGGTCTTTTCCTGACTTACCATCGCTGATAGTGCTGTTTAACGCGTTGAGATAAAAGTCCTACCGTAGAACCTATGAAAAATACACTACAGACTCACTTACACGAATAGATTAACACGGAGGTCAGTTTTGGTAGTTTGTCTTTTACTGGCATTCGTATCACCGGTGATGTACAGAACACTAATCTGAGGTTGGTTGCGGAGAGGCCTCTTTAAAAGGAATCCACTGGAATAGTTCTTTCTTGGGGAAACGACCCCTACCGTCTGCCTCCAATAAATGACATTGAACTGAGCCAAGGGCTGCCATTGCGCAAGCAATTTTCCACCACATGAATTGCAAGAGCACGATTAAAGATATCCAAAAACAACTGTTTGCTCATCGACTCGTTTCTCAATGTAATCATGAGAATATTTAAACTCTGAAGTAACTATTCAAATTTGTACTGCATATGTCATATCAAGTGAGCGTACTAGTACTCTCAACCGACACAATCAGTGCTTGAACTAGTGGAGTGGTACGCAGTCCGGTCGAACTCATAGATTGAACCAAGATATCGGAAGAATAGGAGAATTGACATATACGTAACTGGAATCAAAGTGCAAGCATCACCTGGATACCTCTTTATCGATTTCCAACGGCTGTTCGTCTCGGCGTAGTTCCCGTCCGCCGGCTTGCGTCACCCGATAATTGAGTCCATCTACGTAGACCATACGACGCATTTTGAGCACGGTTGCAACGAGACCGATCTGCAATCAGAGGATGGAAGAAACGGGCAACCCGTGACCACAAACGAGCGGATTTGCAACGTGAAAATCAGAAACAAATACTGCTTTCCTCTGAATGCTTTACGGAAAACCTTATCCATTTCTGCCAGGAACGGAATTGCTCGCCAATGTTTCATTTCAATGATCCAAAGACTTCTTTCCCGAAGCACAAGCTTCAGGATCCACACAATCCTTCTGAATGTCAAGCGAGTTACCTTAGGAGCAAAAAAAGTGCGAAACTAAGCATAAATCGGTCCACATGTTTCACACCGGCATGGTGCAAAAGCAATAACAATGGTAGGAAGAGGTACAGAAAGATGAAACGAAAATGAGAACAGCGAAAACAAATGAATGAATAAATAATTTTTGCTAGTTTCACTTTAGGCTGTTTGAAGTTTTTTCTGTCCATTATGGGGAACGGGGCTTCAATAAACAAACCGCTCAGCAATCGCGCCACTGACTTCTATTCCAGGCCATATCTCTCATCGTCTCTAACCATCGGTAATCCTCATCCCTTGTTCCCCAGCTTTCCAAGCGGGGAAGTCAATGCGGAGGCTAACTTCTCTACCCCAGGTTATGGTCTGACCACTGCGGCACTTTTTCCAACCTCGCCCAGTACATGCAAATGAGCCCATAGGACTAGATCAGTGTGTTGCCGTTCTATGGCGGAGAGTAATCGATCGTGTTATCTAGTCGTGAAACTAAAACTAAAGGTTCTGCCGATGTATTTCTACTACACATCATTTCGTACAGATGGCTACACCTTGGACATCTCTGCAAGATACGGTGACGGATTTGGCATAGCATATGCCGAAGTTTTTTTTCAAAACCTCGCGGTGTTGGTGTTGCTATCATATCAACCCAGAGGTCGGGAGTTTGAGTTCCATAGCCATCGCTCGACTGTCCCCCATTGTCATGCGGCACCAAAACGGCTGTAGTTTAATTCCTGAAAGGTGTTTGAACAATGGCATGTTCAACAAAAGAGCATAAAAAGAATAATGCATAGTACCGTGTTATTGTTATTGGCATTAACTTATTACTTGACGCGAGAGAGAAAATCATACTAAATAGTTACTGGATATGACCACATAGCGCCTCATTTGGAAAGAAGTACTGCTATTACCACCATCATCATAACCCGGTTTGAAAGCATCAAGTGGTTTGTCACTCCAAGTTCGTTGTCTGGACTGCCAATCAGCATTCGTGATAAATTTATGGGAACAGCACTCACGGTTCTGAAATTGCGTTCACCAAAGTTTTCGAACTCGAAGGAAATATAGATTTTGTTCATCGGTTTTGTGTTATTTTATTTTGTTTTACATCTGTCGGAAACAATCATCCATGAAATAGAAACATGTTAAATTCACAACCAACCTTAGATTTCTCAATGACTTTCTGTGCACACTTTTTACTCGTAAACAGAAGTTCGTGTAGTTATCAATAAAACCATCGTTTAGTCACGTTTCATACGCTTGAAATTTGCAACCAAAAAAAACACGGTGATGCTCAGCCTAAACTCCAATCATCATCTTTGAACCGTAACCCGCGCATTATTTTATTTATCCTCCACTAAATCTGTTGTGCACAACACAGTACATGAACCTGGCGCCGATCGAAGTCAAAGCTTTATTTTGGGACATACTGACAGATGGTCGATTTTCTTGTCCTTTAGGGATTTCCGCACAACGGAATTGATTTACCGATCAAAGAGATATGAGGAACATCACAAATTTTCATTGTTTCCTGTAATACTACTGATGTCGAGATTTAGGACATAACAATGCTTCATCCATTTTGTGCTTGAAACAATCAATTGGGAGCGCCGAAACAATGTGAGGTAGTAGGGCCTTTCAAATACTGCACACTCAAACAAATGAATGACGCCGGCGATCTAGTTGACATTTTTGGAGCAATAATATTAATGAATGCCCCCTGAGGTAAACGATAGGTGACAAGACGAACAGTGAACGACATGGGTGATCGGAGTTCTGCGTTATTTGAGACACCAAAATCAAGTCTCCTCAAATTCAGCGCGACTGGATGGAGCACAACCGCAACTGAAGATTCCCATTGTAGCACTTGGGAAAACAAAATGACAAAATGTTCGTTTCCGTAAACCTCCATTGGCTAACACAGTTATATAAATAGGTAATACGCATATCATATTTGCATATCGTTTGATGTATATGCGGATTTGATTGGTAGATGTTATTAGTTGATTGTGTGTTGTCTTTCCACATAAGTCTTGGAATGCAGTCCCCTGCATTTTTGTTCCTAACCTATACAACCGAAAACCCTTGCCTCACACGCACCCACGAAGATGGATTTCAGTTCCCATGTTAAGTGTTCCTTCTCTCTTTCTTGCAAGCTGACAAGGCTAAAAATACCCCACGCTCAAATGTTGTATGTCTATGACGGAGCTTGTACTCTTACTGATCGTGCACGATGTAAGGCCTTATCGGTGATCATTCATGCATTCACTAGCCCACAAATGCACTACTGTTTCACCCGTTAGACCGAGACACAGACAGCCAGCGGTCTCGACTAAATGATTGTACCCAAACGTTGCAATTCTATTTTCCATTCATTATCTTACCCAAGGATCACTACGGTAAGGAACACACCTTTTTCCGCATCGTCTTTGCTCAGTCTTCCACATTCCTGATACTTCTAGAAACAAAATCAACAAATTCGATTTGAAATGAAATTTCGACCTGAAGCTGAATTGGTGAACTGTTGATCTTAAAGTGATGGGATTTGTCGAGTCTACTCTAACTTACGCTTTATGTGTAATAAAAACATCACACTTCAGTGTATTGTGAAACGGGAAAGTAATGAACAAAAAACTTTGAATAGCAATAATAGAAATCAAACCGGAGGGAATATTGAATTATTACCGCGGAAGAGGATTTATCAAGACACAGACGCGCTTCGTCTATGTGAAGTAAAGCTTGAATCAAAAATGCATAGCATTTTTAGGAAGCCTCCCCCCGTTTTTCGGCGAAATTTCCATCAAAAGTATGGCACACGCAATAGATAATCAACGTGGGGTGGGGGGAACTAACCTTTCCCTGATCTGGTCCGGTAAGCACTTTCACTCGGTCGCCTTTAAATATGAGCTGTTCTTCTGGTGGAATCCCGGGAAGTTTTTTGGAGACTTTTTTCCCATCGGGGAGTACTACGCACCAGGTCAGGTTCGGATAGGGAAATTCAGCGAGACGGTTTGCTATATTCCATGGCGGGTTTTCTGAGAAATGCCACACGGGAAGATAGGGCTCCTCACGATACTGCAAGAATCATGTAGGAGGCGAAAACGTTATTGTTAATGAGGATCACCAACAGTTTTGAAATAACACGAAGCAAAGACCAATAAGCACGTGAGTTGTGCACACAAATAATGCATACTTGCCACATCGATCAAAAGCCGTCAGTGGTGGTTCACTGTGGCAACGATTGATGTGATTAGTGCATACAGAGTTACAGAACAGTATAAAGTAGATGTTATGATGAGAAACTATTCAATATATATATATATATATATATATATATATATATATACATATAGGATCATCGACCATGCCTGTTCACTGAATCCGATAGCATACAACTATGATTTATGGTTTGCAGCCTCGTGTGGTGGTAACGTCTGACGCCGGACGACACCATTTGGAGACATGACAGGAATGCAATGAGGTATACAAGCACGTAGTAGGTGGAGTAACGTTTCATCGGGCTAGGAGGAAACGTCTGATTCGGGATCGGAAAATTGTCACACAAAAGGCTGGTGACAGGGGTGGAGTCACGGAGACAAGCGGGAACGGAAATCGGATATCAGAATAATCAGTTGCGATGCGAAAAAGAAACACAGATCGTTGGGCGGACTAGCAACTACGGCTGCTTTAGACTCTGTGACACAACTTGTTGAAAAAGAAAGTCAGTTTGTTAATGCTCGCAGATTATCGTAAATAGACTCCACCTTGACATGGTGAGATAGCTTGCATACACCCGTGACCCCGCGAACTAAACAGGATAGCGATCGACGACCGCAGGTCAATGGGTAGAGGACAGACGAAACTCAGTCTCTACAGGGACACCTCCTGGCTTCCTTCCAGTCTCGCTCCCGAAGAGGTTACTCCAGCAAACAACCACGGTGAGGGGCAGATTACCGGTCAAAAAAAACCCCGCTAGATGAACATAGGAGCGGGGTACCTGGTCCTTCCTCATGACGGTGGGAGAAGTCTTATTGGGTGCATGAGGCTAAGTGCCGATCCCGGACAGCGGACCGTCAAACAACACAAAAACGAACAATACACTGAACACGAACCCGAAGGCCTTGCGTACGCGGTCTCTAGAAGCTCTACTCGGGTACTTCCACCACAGTCCGCGTTGGATATATGCTCCGCGACTGTGTGCGTCAAATCTTCGAGTCGAAGGTTCTGATCAGGATTCCCTATTCGTTGGTGTGGGCTACCGCAAAGTATATTGTGAGTCAGTCTCAGGCAGTCATTTGGAACAACTTTTTTCTCATCGGTCGATTTCTTCCTCTTACTCGGACACCCATGGGACATCACTCAGAGTTTAGGGAACAAGATCAACCCATCAGGATCTAAAACAATTAAGGAGCCAAAACATCCTTTTCACCTAACCTATTTAACTTCCGCACGCTCTATCAGATCAACCAGCAAGCTATCTTAACTAGAACCATCGAACATTTCAATTTAGACGTACTTTTTGTCTCTGAAACACACGTACGACGCCCTGCTTTGATAATCACCTTGCGCTTTTCTGAATCAACCTTACTCTCACACTTCGATCTCGATATATCAGGCGAATCGGGACCTGATGCTCGCGGTGTTGCTGGCGTTGGGAATGTGCTAAGAGCTAAGGCTGATCACCAAATTCTTGACTGGATTCATTAGTAGCCGACTGTGAGCTATGCGTCTCGAGGGTTCGTTACCGGTAAACAGCTACAGAACGGAACGATGAACTCAAATCAATCATATCGCCATCAGCGACTGTTGACAGGGATCGATGTAAGGCTGTCCATTTCACAATCCAACACCCGTGGATACGAACCGTGCTCTGTAAAGAGCCAGGTTCTCCCCATGATTGGTAAACAACCAAAAAGCTCTCTTATCACCACTTGGTTCAGTCAGTCAGCGAAGAACTTAATGCACACTAGATGCTAATCAAAGAAACTATCTAAATGTCGGTCAAAACAATGGCACACGATCAAGGCAAAATGATGGATCTCCTCTACCTCAGATGCCTTGCTGGCGGATGCCAAATTGGACACCGCAGACAAATCTCTTAAAAGCCAGCTCATCAAGAGCCTGAGAATTGACTGCCCCAAGTGGTGGGTAGAAAAAATGTAAAAAGATGGAGTAGGCCGTGGTCATTGGTCACAGTCACACTCATTCGCTTTTATTAACGAATACGAGATCAAGAAAGCTAGACGTGAGGTAATTAGTAGTCCGATAGAATACTAATCCACATTCAGCAACGCCCGCTTGAACGACGGGCAGAACAATTTTAGGCTCAGTTCAACAGACCCCCATCGAAACCAGACCTATCAACTCCTACATTGACTGGGCAAATACTACGATTGGATATTAGTCCTGAATCTGAAATGGAGGTTTTCCGTTAAATAAGTTATGTCAAAACGTAAAGGATCTCTGGCCCGGATGGACCCCTGCCATTGGCTTTTAAGGATGGATGCCCAACCTTGGTCTTGGAATTGATAAAACTCCTGCGTTCAGTGTGGAAGGGTGAACGGGTTCCAACGGAATGGTACGAATCAATAATCTGACCGATCTACAAGAAAGGTGATAGGCTCTTTTGTGAAAACCACAGAGGAATTAGTTCCATCAACAGTGTCTGTGAACTTCTCGCGGCCACAATACCCCGTCGATTGTCTGCCGCACGTGACGGATGCAGACGTGTGAACCCGGCTGGTTTTCGATCCAGTGAAGGTTGAATAGACCACATTTTCACTCTTCACCCCATACTGGAATACCGAAATCGGTTTCTTGGACCCCTCATTACTATCTTCCTCAATTTGACGGCTGCTTTCGACTCAGTCGAAGCCGCCTCGAGAAGTTTATTTCCACATTACGTTCCATTTGTACTAATATCTGAAGCCGATTACCAACGTACGGCACTTTTTCGCCTGCGTGCATCACAGGCGATGCAATGCGGATGAAATCTCGGCACGCACATAGAAGGCTCGATTGGCATTTGTCAAATAGAGGCATCTCTGGCGCCGTCGTGATATTCGGTTACTTGGGAGGGGTCGAGTATATGCTTCACCAGTTCGGTCAGTGCTGCTATACAGCACAGAGAAACGAAACACCCCTGTTTACGACGCATTGGACGAGTCTGGTGGGGAAAACAAACAAGCATTACTGACCTTAGGTTCAGAGTTTTAGGCAACCGCGGTCGCCCACTGGAGCCAAAGATCATTTTGGTCGGGCATAGGCTGAGCATATCGCCAAATAGATCATCACAGCTTGCGACGTTTTTCGAGACAGGAAGTGGACAAAAAATTCAAGGGTGGTCAAACAAGACCTGGCGTGAGAATATGAAATCCCTCACCAGGAGACTCGGTCAAATAGGTCGCGTTAGGTTTCCTGGATGGGGCTTTCGGGATCATTGTGATTAATGGTTACAGACATTAAATGATATAGCTTAGTGTCGTGAACAAAGGTGCTCGTGAATCCACCCATTATCCCCTCAACCCTAGTCTACATTAATTCCCTATTTTCAACTTGATACTGCTTTTAACATTCCTAACTTTTCTCTACTCGTTCATCGAAATGGGTGGTTGAAAAAGCAGCATGAATGTGTATGCTTTATGGTCGTTTCAAGTGAAAACTGAACCCAATTGTAGACAATAAGTGCGGACCGGATGTTTTTTATTAGGGAGATGAATGCGTCTACTGCGTCAAAAAACCAGACCATAAAATGCAGGAAAACTGTTCGAGAAGCAGGTGGGCAATGTTAGCCACAGGTACGAAACAGAAAAACTGAACCTATTCTACTTACAATGGTGGGAAAATGTAACAGCGGATGGAAGCTTCAAGTCGAATTACGAGGACATCGCACTCTCTTGAAGAAGTAAATAACGCGTTCGGGTGACAATGTAGACACACTTGATTGATTGTAATTGCATTGGAATCTTACGGTTTTAGAATTTATTACAAACAGTCATTCGACTGTCTTCTACTTGGACCACTATCTGCATTCTCGGTATTTTCAGCTGGTGTAACGACCTTGGCAACTTGCCATTCCGTTTGAGTGTGAGTCGTGTTCATGTCTCACTGGACCACTTGGTTCATGGTGTCTGTATTTTCCTCTCTTGCAGATTGTCAGTTTACTCTCTTCACGGAGGACCTCCTGTCTGTCGACGGTTCCAGCCCACACCTAGACTCGACCCACTTGCGGCTGTCTGGTGTATTCGTTTACGGGGGACATCCTGCGGCACACCCGAGCCAAGCATCTTACACTGGAAACCACTACTACCATTAAAGCCAATGTGGATTGGCACCAGGCTAACCGTTGTTAGCCATCAACTTAGCATTTTGTCATATCGATCACATGGCATTACCATTACCATTTGGAATTAGCTTAACTCAGCTTTAATTTACGAGCACATACAAACAGTCTCTGTATTGAGTTTTCTTTCACACGACCACGTTTTGAGTACATTCTCGCTATTGCAATATTCGTTCCACTAACAATGCGACTGTATTAGCTTATCCATGGCACCCATCCTTATTAATGCTATACTCCAATCAAACCTTATCTATTCATTCAGATTTAAAAGCTTACCGTGCTTCTTGATCGCAGCGGCCCCTGAACCCATTTGAATGTTTAGTTCCATGATCAACCGGGAACCCGTACCGGAGGGTGAGTCATGGTAATCGAGAAGGACTAACCACTCAGCATCATATGATCCCACAGGCTATTGCGTTGGTCAGTTTGTCGGTGAGTGTGTTCACGAATGCTTGGGTTTGCTAACCGCAACACTCGATTGCAAAATGGACTGTTGTGATTTCAGTAATCGACCCTAAGGGAACCCGGGTGCTGTATTGGTCAACAGTGATGATCGGACCCACCCGGTTATTCCTAAAAAATCTCAGTTGTCTGTATTGTAATCAGGGCATAGATGCACACGCGCCTATATGAATTGAATAGAGAAGCTAAAGAAGGCGTGTACGCCTGTGCACTTAGGTTGAGTTCGAGCAGCGAAACAGCTAGTGATTACCTGTCGTTTTTAACTACTCACTAAGTATGCAGTAGTGAAAATGAGATTGTGATTTGAGCCCTTCAGAATGTAAATATTTGTGTGCTTTGCTCATGGTGATGTACAATGTCGCACATCAGATATGCGTATCCAGTCAATTTTTATTTATTTATTCATATACTTGAACTTTGTGTGTAATTTTTTTCACAAATTTCCCTTTTGTAACACGGCGCATAGCTTTTCTTGCGGACATGCAGTTCTCAAGAGTAATCAAGTCATGAATAGATTGATTGTCGTTTGTTGGTTATTGCGCGCATTATCTCATCCAGTTGGTGTAATGGAAAACGTAAACTATCTCACATCCCTTAGATTACCAATTTATCCACTGAAGCGGGAACATATTTCATCCTCAAGATATGAAGCGTTCACTTCATAAGAAATGAACGTTATTCCTATCACTGTCGATATGTACGTATATATAACTTTCGCCACCAAAGAGGAATTTGCAATGCTAGAGTCATCGAATATTTGTCTGCACTTAATTCTCACAAATAGGATGAAGGTGACTCAATGAAAAAAGATTAAATTGATTTAGTTACTTTCACTCCAAAAGTACATGGCTTACAATTAATATTGATCGATTCACGTGGAATTGAATTCAACTCATGAAGTAGCTTGGGACACTCGGTCAACCTTCGGTAGATTAGGATGGAAAAAATTGCATAATTGAACACAACAGTCAGTAACAACCGATCGTAATTTAAAGAAATAGAAGAATGAGCAGGTGGAAACGCACCTCATTTGGTTTGCGATCTGGTCGCTCGAATGGATGCTCCGTCTGAAATCGCCAACCTAACAACTCCTTCCGATAGATCGGACGAATCCGGAGCAACCGAGCCACATAGCGAGGCCAGTAGGAGAAACGTAGTGCCGGATCCTAACCGAACGAAAATATCGACCATTCGTTATTCCGAAAACCGATGCAAGTAAAGTGAGCGTGAATTTATTACGATTGACCATTGGGATACAACAAAGGATCGCGACAGCCCAGACAAGAGATGAATCGTAGAGGCACAATTTGATACTATAGTGAGAGGAAGCATAAATTACCGAAGGGCAACAAACTCAACTCGATCTAATACGGTAACAGTATTTCTCCAATCGTTCAGAACACACAGTATGAGAGGTCAGCTTCATGGGGCCGGTCGGTGAATCAGTTTATTATAACACAGCATACGTAGATTGGACAACACAGCGGCTTCTTGGGAAACTTATGTAAATATTCCTGAGATTTTCCAAGATTTGAGGTCAACCGCGTGTTAATAATCTAACTCAGGTTGAAACTCGGTCTGCATGAAGAAGCTCAGTCCGTTCAGCTAACAGAAATTCAAGTAGTAAGTGGCAAGCCTTTCTGGATAGTTTGAGCACCAGCGTAGCCATGTCCGGTATGCGTTTGGCACCTGCAAAGCGCAAAACGTTACTACAAGACTGGGTTGGTCCAGCACCCACTCACTCTAACTGGGGAAGTAATAGAGCAATTGGATAATTTTTGTTATTTGGGCAACTACATCTCATCCGATGAACGCATGCAACAAATAGATGTGGATGAGCGTTGTTCACTTGAAAAGTAGATCAGCACGGACATAATGGTCTGAAGCTTCTGGTAAAACGTGAACAAAGGCTGTCAGAGCTCCAGCTAATTCAGCTGAATTCGGTCGATTGATTATCGCGTATTTAAAGTGGGTACGATCGAATACTTTTAAAGCTCGACTGTGACAAAACCAAATAACAGCAGTAATGAATGGGCTGGATTTCTTACGCTTAAGCTGAAATAATTTATAGAGAGCTACGATTGTTTATCCAGTTGTGTGGGTTTTCGCTCAAAATGTACGTTTTGATGGATCACGAATTTAAAAAAATCTACATTTTATAAACATATAAATAGTGAGTAGCATATGAGCGATTGGACAAAATTTTCCAGAAGTACATGACGGTTCCGCGGTCCTTGTGTATCCGGTAATCTCTTGTCTGGTCATTCTTATACTTTAACTCCCGATAGAAATTATGCAGTGGAAACCTCATTTGCAGCCTAGTAAATGGATTTGAAATGAACAAGTCTCGAAGAATCATTGCGATGATTCTGTATAAGGTGTTGTAGGTTACGTGCATTCAACCTGCGAAATTTTGTTTAATCATTCACATACTACTCATTATTAAAACACTGAAAATCGGCCCTAGGGTCCAGTTGGCTGAGGTTAGATGCATCTAACCGACAAGACCTGATAGAGAATCATCGCAATGATTCTTTGAGTCTTGTTCGTCTCAAATCCATTCCCCCAGCTGCAAATAAGATTTGCATTATATATATGATAAACGCTATGGCGAAGTTTTCAAATCAAAATCTTAGTGGTGCGTATGCGATTCTGATGAGTGTTCCCGTAGCTCAAACTTCACCTGAGTTAGGAATGATGAGAGAAGTACAAAGTGAGCTGGAATGCAACCGTTTGGTCAAGGTCACGTGAGTTATGTCCTTTGTAAAATTGATCAGACCTGACAAAGGAAATACCAGTACAAACATCAGCTCGTAACTGAGCAGTTAGCAACATGAAATGAATCAGTGAACGATGTTTTGTCTTTTGGTGCGGTCCTATACCTTTCTTGGTGTGACAGCTGATGATCCATCAAGTCCTAGGGCAAGTGATACCAGTTCTACATAAGCGAACATGAAGGCACAAGTTCATCCAAAGTTTCGTGCAAACTGAATCACAGATCAAGGGGCACTCGGGGAATCGATGTTTGAACGGATATTACCAGTCTATGCACTCTATTCATCCCATGTTGGACAGAAGCGCAATGATCATCCCTCGAAAACGCACTTCTTCAATTCTCGAACTTCTGCTGGGATTTCCCCCTGAAAAACGGAGCGACTTAAAAACCCAGCTAGCAGGAAGAATGAACCTAGTTACAACCCGGCGTGAGCGCCTTCATCCGTAAATCGGTATCCAACTCATGTCTCCTAAATTCATGTTGGTGCTGGTGTGTTGGCTTAATCGCTGTCACCAGCGTGTTTTAGACCCTATGGTTCAAGGCTCGAGCTTAACCAATACCACTCGACATTGGTGGTAAGCAGCTTTGCTGTTGTCCGGTTCATTGCCACGCCTAACCTAGCGAAACCTTACGTGGTTCGCCACTCCAAGTCCCGGGGCTTAGGTTACCGTTTTCCATTACTGAACAGTAGGTCTTCGCGACTATGGGGGGTCATCCCGTCTGCTGTTCATCATGCGAACACTGAAAAAAGAATTCAGACTCAACTAATCATGAGTTCCAGATCATGCGACTAAAATGACAACCTTCATCAATCAACACTTTATGGTTCCTCAAATAGCTCTGATACGCTTTACAACGGAACGAATAATTTCGGTTGTCAACCACGAACACAATTCTCCTTTGTTCACCATTTAACTGACAAATTTCACAATATTAAGGAAGCATTCCAAAGTCCATAAACAGAAGAATTCATCGAAAACAAAATAGGGTTATTAAAGTAAACACTAATGGTGAGTGGTACTTAAGTCACAAATAATTGCAAAAATGGAGTGGATAATGAAACTAGAGTACACGTGCTTGGGTTTACTCTATTCATTTTCTATGAAAGGACAAGTCGGCTNTTTGTCTGAAGGTGTTCCCATGGTGCATTAAACTAAGCGTGAGCCAATGGTCAGATCTAACCGCTTCCAATTACCACTTACTAGGTGATTATCGCGGCATACAGTCACAAACCGAACTTATTACACAACCCCATATATGACTGCACCCATTGGGTAGGACATTTACTTTCTCTTAGTGAACATAATGATGCGCGTCTATGAAAGCACAAAATGGGATAACATAAGCAGAATGAAACACAAGCAACTGGCAAATACACATGCAAGCGCGAAGGGAATCACATTAACGGGAAAACAATCCTTCGGGCAACGAATCCATATATGTATTTGAACGCAATATGTGGGATCACAACCTAACAAGCAAAAAACGGTAAAATAAAGGCGAAAGTGCATACTGATACTAAGCGAACAAGAGAGTAGCTGGCACATGTTGCAAAAGCGGATCAGAGTAGGGGAGAGCATCTGGCAAAGACGTAGCTTAGCAGCAGGCCGGTGGACAACCGTCACGGAATTTCGCAACGTGTTTGAAAGACTATTGGTAGTTTGTTCTGATTTGTGCGTGGCAGTTTTAGGGACTTTGGTAAAAAGATATGCGAACAGTGACAATAAGCAGTTTTCGATCAATGCCACCGTGGATTGACTAGAGTGGATTGAATAAGCCGAAGAAAGGTAGACGGCCGAGAAAATCGGTCTCGAGGTTCAGTCAACTAACTGTTTGCCCACGCATCGTCTGAATGCGTCAAATCGGGTTCCAGGCGAGTTCTGTAATTACAGAAAAGGGAAGAACATAGGACAGAGAGAGAAAGAAGAAACCAAAGGTTACGTGAAAATTTGTTTGTATTCTGCCTACGGATTTGAGAATGCCATTTTCCAACAAGAAAACCATTCATATTCTATAGTTACATAACTTGTGGAAGCTCATATGCTTACATTCTAGTCAAAAATTTACGGTGTACGGTCGTCACACTGAATACAAGATACAAATTTAAAAAAACATGTAACATGAAAAATGTCGCTGAAGTTTGATTTATGCACATAAATTCTGACGTACTTCATTAACAACCTGTTTCTGGTTGGCTGAAAGTCAGGCTAGATAGGGTACACGGGAATTCTTATAAACGTTAACGAGAGGATTGCTGCCGAATGGAAACGACAAGAAGATGAATCAAGGTGCAATAAAGAGGGTTCTCTAGAATCCTATTGACGAAGTTAATTCAAGAGCTTATGTGAACATTAGTAAGTTCTGTGAATAATGAATCACCTGAAATCAAGGATAGACGATTATCACCAAATCACGACAAACGGCCTTAAACTCTTGTTTTAAAAGGCCGGGAAACACTATAAGGGAGCAACAGAGTAAAGTTGGGAAAACTCAGTGGTGAACGAAAGAGGGTAAAACTGACTGCTGGGTTCGGAAGTGCCTAAGTTTTCGTATCTGAAAAGAGAGGCATCTTAGTTCCCATATATATTGTATTGTATTGTATTCAAGCTTTAACGAGTTATATACAAGCTGTCAGTCAGCAATTGTGAATGTGCTTGGCCCACTGGAGATCAGTCTATGATGACACCCACTTGACGGAGTTTACTATAGACAGTTAAAAGTAGCAGAATCCACTGGAAATGTAGATTCAGAAACATTGAACATGAACGGTAGGTAATTGGATGTATTGAGACAGAAACCAGATTGGTTGGAAAATTGTTCGACTCGGGCTAAATTTTCGGTAAACGAATCAAATTCCTAAGAAAAGTAAATTGTCGGACACAAAACAATGTGTGCAGGTGGTGGATTCAAAAAATCAATAATGAAAGCAGAAAAGAGATACGGAGATAAAACTGCATCTTGAAGCATATCGGAATTAGTAACTAGAGGTTGTGATGTACTCATGAACAAATTGATTCACAGTGTGAACTAGTCAGAAAGCCATGAGAACAGCTTTCCTAAAGTGTCAAAAGACTCAGGTTTGAAAAGCACGAATGACTAAGAAACGGAATCAAACGCAGATGACTGGTGAGGAAAAACGCAACAACGGACTGACGTTTGTGAATTCACATGGACAGAAATTTCGGAAACAAAATTCCAGTCGAAATCATAATAATATCAAGTATAATTGAAAAACAGGACATGAAACAAAAGCAAATCTGCACCATTGGCCGAAACAGGTACCATTTTTGCAGCAAAATACAAATAAAAGAGATTTATATATAATTCCGATAACCCTTGCAGTTGCGATGTTAGTTTACTCGAGCAATCACCGTGACGTCATGCATTAGGTTTTGCGAGAATTGTCCTGAGTGCATTACAAATTTTGGTTTCACAGCTTCGAAATGAACCATCGATTACAGGCCAAAAGACCTTTCGGTACGATACTTGTATCGTTGGCAAGGAATTCGGACTGGAGTATATTTAAGAAGAATCGTGTGATTCATAAGTCCCAATCGAAACTAGGAATGAACTAACGTGTGATGAATCCGCAGAATGGTTTTGTGATTTACAGGGTCAAGCTATTGCTTGTTTCTTTTCATTTTCTGCCTGGAACAACTCGCAACGAACAAAACACAAAGGTGGTAAATTTTGAGTCATTATCAGAAGCAAATGACCGCGTCATCGTAAATGGGAGTCAAAGGGGTTAAGGAAAGGGGGCTGTACCTGGGATTTGCCAAACTACTCAACTATTGTCGACAACGTGATGATCGAACATTTTACGTGATTACCACTGACGAAAACTAGCTCTTTGGAGTTTGAACTCACCGATCTCCTTTCCAGTTAAATACCAAGCAGCGTTGCGTTCGACCCATTCAACTGCAGTCATATGGGGTTCCCCACCTCTAATCTATCCGTTTTCCGAAAACCAAGCTAAAACGTCAGCGGACGAAAACGTGAACATGTAGAGTTTCGAATACCAGTAAACTATTTACCTATTCGAAACATCGAAACTTTGTATTTGTTTCTTCCATTCGCTTTTCAAAATCGACAGAAACTTAGATTTGAAGTGCTCAAATGTTTTGGTAAACAGATGATTATACCAATAGAAACGGTCCAAACAAAAAAAAACATCCAGTCATTATTACACAAACTCGGGGTGGTAAAACGCACTTCAATTAAATGACGCAATCCATGTCCACGAATACAATCAATAAATTCGGAAGTACTCAGGTGACCGTCACCATCCGCATCGAAAAGAGTGAAAATAACGTCAACCACAAGCGGATCCAATGAGTTTCCGGTTACTGCTCTTGCGGCACGCTGAAATTCGTCTGAAATAAATAACACAGAAACATACGCCGCTGTGTCAACCTCCATAAAGTTCAACGCCCGGGCTCCCATAAGCAGCGAGGGCAAAAGTCAGATGATTGTTAGACAAAGTGTTAGCTGGTGTTGAGGTTATGGCTAAATGCACGGGATGAGAAATGATGATTAATACAAATAAGGGCACTCGATAAAATACAATGGACGGTTTCCGGAGTTTGGTTGATACTGAAAGTCGAGAACCTGTGGAAAGTGTCAAAAACACTGCAAACCAGTGGTTGTTGTGACCAATGAGTATAGAGCTGACATGCAAGTATAGGGCGTCACCATTGATTCTCCTGAATAAGGATGACGCACTGCAGAAGGCTCTTTAGAAATGCACAATGTTAAGACTCCGCAAGGAAAACTCTAATTATCGTGTTCTAGAGGTGAAAAAGACTGCGTATTATTCACAGGATAGGTAGCCAAACTGTGCTGCAGTTAGGACGATGATATTCAGGTTATAACTTGATCGACCGACCCCGAGTCAAACAAAGGAGCTGAAGAGCTATAATTCAAAACTACCCATGAAGTAATCTTCATCTGTTCTAAATGCGGACAGTAACTGAGCTTTTTGTGCACTGTGGACGTATGATTTATACATCGATGGAAAACTGAAATGCCATCGTTTGTGGAATCTTAGTGACACTTAGGGATCTTTGGAATGAACTCTTCAGTTGAAGATAGAACTATAAAAGTCAACCCATTACCATTCTAAAGGAAGATGAATCGTCCAACAGTTCATTGTGCTAACAATTGTAGGACAAGTAGAATACCACTATCACATCTGGTGCATTATGCTTCCCAGACAGAAACCAGATGATTTTCTAATTATGCGGACGCTAAAAGCGGATCAATGAAAAGGGAACTTAGGCTCCGAAATCCTGTAACTTCTGCCAGTTGGACGTTGCTGGTAAAACGCTGAGTGATCTTCGATGGGTGGTATAAACAGGAAGCGTCTGGGCACGGCATAGTTCGGGGCGGCCCACACCCACATTGGGGTTTTTCCTTGGGAACCCTGACCTTTCAGGCATGATTGGATTTACGGCTGTGAAAAGCCATCCTGTGTAACTCGTAGGGTCATGGAGGCACACAAACCATCACACCACGTCAAGATGCAGTCTCGCCGTGATGAATCCCACTATTCTTATTTCTTCATTTGTTCCAATATCTGGTTAGCGTCCGATCGACGATACGCTATTAGAAGCTGATCCGATAACGGTCGCATAGCACTAAACGGTTAGCCCGAATCAGCCAGTGTGGACTTCCAACTCATGTTATTTTGCGTCAGACAAATCGCATCGGTCAATGGCTAGAACGTAAGAGGCTACTCCACATAGTTCTTCCAGCTCCCGACCGAAATGCGGTACCTCATAAGCAAAATACAGATGAGCGTTCGATACTGATCCCAGATGCCATTCAACATGCATTATCGATTGGGGACNTACACCGATTTAGATAGGCCGGTACTCGGTTTCCGAGCTGATCTGTACAGGTCAGGTCAAAAACAGCTACATATTCCTCCGAAGAGCGTTCATTCATAGGTTAGTAGTGGGTGACTTCTCCATCATATGGTGTCATACCACAACTATTTCAATATTGCCCCTCGTGGATCTCCACACCTTTCAAAGCTTGGGTCGCGAATTACCAGCACCAGCACTATCGTCAGTCAAGTAAATTAGAGCGAACTTTATTGACCGTTGCGAACCTCGTAATGTATAGAAAGTAAATATGAATGAGTAGGGCGCTGTTACGTAAAAAGATTATTTTTACCTAAAACTGACTATTTTCGAGTATTTTCAATTAGGAGCATCTATAATCAATACTAGTCTCGCG